AGTATTTATATATAAAAATGAATAATGATATTAAATAATTATCATATATCCATGTAAAAATAATTTACAATATGAATATAATTATATAATGTAAATTATTAATTTCTATACATATTTAATATAATTATTCCTATATATAAATATTAATAATGTCAATAAATAAAGCTTCCAAATAAAAATTCGAAACATATTAATTATAAACATTTCAACATAATTAGATATTCTTAAAAAAATATAAAATAACATATTACGCTATTATGAAATAAAAATTTGTTATATTAACTAATTTTTATTTTTCTTCCTAGGATACATCAGAGATGCCACTAACAGTTATACCATTTGTATACACGTTATGACATTCATGATATGCATAACCTTTACTGCATGGAGTATCGAGTTTATATACAAGACAATTCAAGCAAGAAAATCTTCTTTAGCGAAAGCAGCACGAAATGAAATAATTGAATAAATGTCATTTAACTCTTGATGTGTAACTTTCTCGAAAACATGAATGAAACAAAATTTTATTCGACATATCAAGCATTTATCGTACTTTAAGAACTCAATGAATTTTATTCAAATATTCTGTCATTTTCGAAGCAACGAAAGGTATTCTTATTGAAATTATCAATATTCGACTCTTGACGTATTATTTATTATAAAAATTTATATCGATATAGTCATTCGTTTGAGAACATCCTTTTATAGTACTGTTTGCAGTGTATAAAATAACATTCATAAAGACGGAAATCGTACATAATAATTCTGCCTCTTATATTTTTGCTGATAACATTTTAGCATTTACAAGAGACGATAATACGTACAGTTGCTCATGAAAATATTCCAACACTTACTAATCAAATTATTATCAAATAAAATATACACTATAAACTACAATTGTTAAAATAATATTGCAACCACAGTAGGATGCAAGTTTTAAAGTTATTAAAGATTTAAGAAAAATTTAGGAGGAAATTTAATAATTATTTAAATATTTGAGTTATTTCAGAATCATTTAATATCAACATTATTTAAATTTCTTGTATCATTGATGACATAATTAAAACAATTTTTATATTCTATACAAGTCTTTTATGTATGATTTAACTGTACTCGATGACCTGTCAGTTCTGTCTTCTTGCTGTTACATCTGCTTGTCATTCTATTTATACTTTATTCATACTCGTAATTTTATCTGCGTTTAATTTAGTCAGTTAACAGTCATTGCAATATTATTTTGAATCTATGTGTCAAAAGCGTGTATACTTTTCTCGATAAATTTAGTTAAAAGCGTTCTTGACATTACAATACTTTTGTCAGCAACTCTACGCATTAAGAAGCAAGTCACCAAGATTCACTGCCTGTCAAATGTTAGGGACCAGTTAGTGCATCAATGAGACTAGTTAAACTTTTCCTGTCGTGTTATGCAAACAATGGTATAGGTCGTTTCATATTTTAATATTACAATAGAGAAAATTAATCTGATGTAATATTCATTATATTCTTTAAACAAGATAATTTTAGTATTTTTGAAGGAAATTATTCTTTTTGTTTTATTATTGTTAGTCTGAATACAGACTTTTAATAATACCTTAAAAAGATTATAAAATTTTTCTTGACCAAAGGGTTTTCCAGTAATTCCCTATAATTTTTATAAATGTTTCTTTGATTTCAATTCTGCTATTATCTTCACATTTATATGGCCCAATATGAAAGTAATATTTTCATGAACATTATATTTTTAAATATTTCTCCGCCACATTTTACGTGCTTATATTTTTTTATGATATTTTATCATTTGTAACAGACATTTGAAACTTTTTCACTAAAAGACATCTTGAATATATAACTTAGAACAAAGGACATCTTATTTTAATTTCATTAGTAACGATTTACTATTTTACTTTAATTGTCAACTTTTGTTATACGTAATTAAAAATTTTAAATATTCCTCAACGATCCGAGATTTAGCATAATAAAAGGCACTAAAAATAGTTTAATACTTTAATACTTTATTATGGTTTTGTTTCACAGATTCCCTAACTTTTGATTGGCTATAAATGTGCATTTTATTAGAAATGTTATAGTGATATAGTAACTTGATGTAGTGAATATTAGAAACAGCTAAAAATCTTTATATTAAATAATTGTCTATACTTAGGGAATATTTATAATAAATAGAAAATAGTGAATGCTTGTGTTATAATATTTAGAAATTATATAGTAATTTAAAAAGTAATTTGATACATGATACTTGTATAGGAAAGATAATAAAATTTGTTTAAAGAACATGTGTAATGCATGGAATGTTAATAAAACTCGTAAGTTATCTATAATAAAATATTATTTAATAAATATTATTTCGTCATAATTCCTTTTTCTTGTTTTTCAAATATTTTGTACATTTAAGTCTATTTTAGAAGAAGGAAATGGTTGTGACTTTGTCATCTTGACAAATGTAATTAAATGAAAATGTAATTAAAACAAAAGAAGCTTTTTCACAAATTATTTTGCGTAATTGTATTTCGTATTTTACTATTTTAAACTGTAAATACAGTCTAAAATTTAAACTAATTATTTTAATACTTGCTTTGATTATGAACTCATGGTAGCATATAAATTATTTCGAAAATGCTATATCGAATTTGTCTTAACATTCTGTGCAATAATTATATATGTATACCAGTGTTATATGATAGCTGAATTAATTTATATTTGCGATATTTCAAACTTTTATACCATCCAAATTGATTAACAATTTTCCACAAAATATGTAACTCTTTTAACATTGTCACTTAAAAATTATGTTCTTTTTGGAACCATTTAATACCAAAACTAAACAATTAACAATAATTAAGATATCTGAATAGAAGATATTAATTTTGACAGAAGTTGCTCATTTTTACTAACTGGAAACACAAAAATTTGGAACCAAACATTTTGATTGCTTTGGTAGTTCTAGTATCAATATGTTAAAATTAATAAACCATAATCTTGATCTAAAATTTTACGAATCTCGATAATAAACCACCAAATTAATTCATTATGGTACTAAAATCAGTAAAGATATTTCAAGTGACCATGTTAAACGAGAAAAATTGCATTTTAATTTTTGTCATATGTGAGATTATTTAAAACACTTATTTTGTCATATATGATATTTATATGACTGTTAAACTCAAGCTCTTTAAACTTTAGTTAATTTTGCAATTAAAAATCTGTTTCACAAATACTGTAATATTGTAAATATTTTAATTTATCAGTGTGGATTTAAGGATTGTTTATTCGATCGAAATAGTCAAGCACGTCGAAAGGAAGTGTCACGATGGAAATCAAAGATTATTAAGATCTTTATATTTTCAATTAATCTCAAAGTGTCTTAAAATATAACAAATGTAATATAATCGTCTAACGAATATAATTAATGAGGTTTTCAAGTTTTATAACGTTTGTATAAATACTATGATGTTAGCCATAGGCTGCATAATATTACTGTTCTTATAACGACGTGTACCTGACATTTTATATACCATACTTATAATGAAAATACAAAGTAAAAAAATCAAGCAGAATGGTCGTAATTCGTTGTCATATTATAACGAAAATTCATTGCTAGTTGAAAAAATATATCTATACATATCTCCCTACCTCTTTAAATAACGTATAATATATTCGAATAAAATTTCTACTATAGTTAAAGCATGCGAAATTTTTCATAAACAAAATAATTTTAAAACGCGTTCGGAACGAACTTTATTTGTTTAAAAAATATTATTTGTATAAGTAAATATAAAACACAATGATACTAATCATTTTAATAATAAATATTATTATAATAATAAATATTTGCGCTCGACGATTTTTTTGCTAAAGAAGGGTACGAGTTGAAAAATTTTCTGCCATAAAGCTGATGATATTTTTTGAGCAGTAAATCAGAAATCGTATAATAATTAACACGTAGAACTATTTAATTTCGATACCTCGCACACTGTTACATTATTTTAAATTTGATATATTAATTAATATAGAGCTTCGAAATTTTATCAAATGGCGACTGAAAGGCGCCTCTCCAGTGTAAAGGGTTAAATAACGATATTTCTTTTCATCAATTAATATCTGTAAGGTGAGGAAATTTATATATCTATATTTCGAATTAAATTTTAATAATAATTGTAGCAATGGAACGAGTGCGGCCCTTTGCATAATCCGAATTATTTTTCAATTTTGTTGCCAATAACTCCCTACTATTTTAAGTCTTTTGTTTGAAGTTTACTTCAAGTACAACAAGTGAAGGTTACTTCACAGAACAGTTCCTCGACTGCTACTTATTTTAAAGAATTTTGTTTACTGATTATATTAAATATAGCTCTCAAGCAATATTGTAATTTATATTTTGAATTTAAGTAATTCAAGTAGTTACATATTTTCTGTTTTCTTATTTAGTAAATAAAGAATCAAGAACTCGACATAGGAGTTCCTGTGATAAAAACTGACATCGAGTCACACTGGACAAAAGAGTGCAAAGGATTTAATAGTGTTTGGGACATAGGACGAATGACTGCATGCGAAAAAATCGATTGTAAGGGATATTTATGACAGAGTCGAGTGTGAGCAACGAGTGAAAATTTAGGAATGAGTATTTGAAGTATCTTGGTTGTCATGGAACGATCGAGAGCGATCGGGAACATAAAGTCGCCGCCATTAAAGTTGCCGACCGCCGGGGTTCGGCCGTCGGCGGCGGCTCTCTTGCAATAAGTATATGGGGACCTTGGTAAGAGCCTGAAAGTGACGCAATTTAATCGCCATTGTTATATAATATATGCATGTTCAATTATGTATAATGTATTATGTATAATGTATGCATATTCTGTTCAAATTGATAATAAAGATACAAAATACAAAGTGAAGACTAACATACTTGTTTCTTTATTTATATATTTATTTATTTAATAATAATTTACGGGTAGTAGAACCCATTAGTGTATAAACAAAAAATTTAAAAATACATCAGTTTGTTAGAGAAAGAATATAGGTTACGTATGGTACAAATGCCGATATAGCCGATATAAACAATTTGCTTAGAGATTTAAGATCTGGTTTTTAAACGAAGAGATGCTATTGCCAAAAAATTAAAGGTTTGACGAGAAATTGTTTATAAGAATGCATATTCTATTAATAGGATCTGCTGATTCAAGTCGTGCAGTATTATGCTGGTCAGGTATACGATTCGAAAGTCTCTTAAATTTCTTGAAGGAGCATGAAAATTAATGAAAGATAATAATTCTGGACTGCGTACAATAGCATTTATAATTTTGAAGAGGAACAAAAGGTCGGCAGCAATTCTTCTTGATTCAAGAGATTTAAGATTAAGCTTGCGTTGAACAGGTTCATAATCATGATCATAGATACTCATATAATGTTCAAGTTTACAGCTGCAAATCTTAGAAATCTGTGTTGAATCTGATCAATATGATATTTTTGACCAGGTTTTGTTGGAGGCCAAATCGTCGAGGCATATTTTAAACGAGACCATTTTAATAGTGATGTAATATTGTAGTTTCCACCTTATTATAAGATCCTAGATTGAAAACTTAATAGGTGCATTGATCGATGCATTAGTACATAGGGCCACTGCAACAGTTTAGCTCTTTTGAATAGACTAATGTATAATATATGAACTTGCTATATTATATTTCATGGCCTGCCTGTGGTCTTGGCCTCTTATCTTTCCAAATTTTCGACAATCCAGTGCTCCATATGTCTTGATCTTAAATGCTTGTATTCTGTCGTACAGGCAACACTTCGAATTACGATTATATCGATGAAAGTTCATTTCAAAATGTCAAATGATCAAGGCTGATTCTACAAAGAGAAAAGTTGACACTGAAAACAAAATTAAAGTTATTATTATACGAATTTTCGATTTTATACTCTATTAATATTAGACCTGCTATCGTTTCCCACTTATTTGGTTTTATTACTTTAACATTTTTTATATTTTTTTGATAATATGTTTTTATTAAATCACCTTATCTTATTCAAGTTTATCAAATACTTTTATAGATCATGACCAAAATTGTTCATAATTATAAAGAAATCTTCGCATAAAAATTAAAAATATTAATTAAGATTAATTATAATTTTTTCGGAACTGTTAAGATAACTATAATTATGTAGTATATAATTACAATGTTTGTGTAAAGTATAGCAATGAATTAAATATTTGGTGTTTTAGGGATAAAGGAAAGTAGGTAATAAAAGTATTTTATATTTCTTATATATAATTTATTCATAAACAATATAATTGCAATACAATTACTTAATCACACAATACATATAATACATCGTTCTTAAACAGTAAAGCATTACACACAAATATATCTAAGTACTTAAGAATATTAGTACATTACTTTATACAATATTTTACTGAAATGTGAATATCTTGTAATTTAATATCCGATAATAAGAATTACTTAAACAAAACCGAGTAGTGAATTTATAAAAAATTAATTACAGAATATAATGTAACGTAAAATATAACCTACTTCAAAAGAAATTCATTGTACGAGGAATCACAAATAGTACTTGGAATAATAAAGTTTGCGATGCTAATACGATTTAATTTCTATGTATATGAGTATGTTGTTACAAATTCCACATAGTTCAATTTTGAAGTTACTAGAAACAAGAAACACTAAATATTCAAAATCGGAAATTAATATTTATAATACATATTAATATGTGCTACTTTACTTTCTGTCTTTAAAGTCTCCTTGCTTATACTTAATAAATTCAAAACTATGTATATATGCCGAATACTTTGTCTCATATATGAATACGAATATAAGTAATAACTTTCATGCGTCATACTCAGTTTTAAAATAACTAGTACTGTAATAAAAACGATGTGTGATGATGATTCAAAATAGCGTGTCATTCAAATTATCCTGATATTATATAAATATTATTTTTATTGCACGAACATTGTGTAAATTAAATAACAAAAATATACGACACGCATACCTACTGTAACCTCTACTACTACTGACCTTAAATTCATATCAATTATTATATGCATAAATACATGCCCGATAACATCTAAAGGCTTTACAAATTGGAAATGTGGTGTCTCTTACAGATATATTTCTACATTTTATTTTATTGAAAAGATAAGATTAGTTATATACAAAATTCAATCTAGGATATAATGTGTGAATAAATAGTTATAAGATCCAAATTCCAAGAACGAATGTTCACATAAACATTAAAATAAGAATTGGGTGTTTAGGCTGCGTCACGTATTCTCTTGATACTCTCTCAAGAGTCGGTCAGTAGCTTTAGAGAAGCACTCAAATATAGATATACCTTCCTTGAGTAATAAAAAAATTTAAAAGAGAGTATACATATATTCTGGAATGAGAAGGATAAGAAAAAGTTTGCTTATTTAAATGTATTGGGATTATGGATTTATAATTATATTTATAAGTATTTATAATTTAAAAATAACTATATGTATATATTGTTAGATGACTGTTTAGTTATCTATTCGTATTTATCTATGTACATTAGATAAACTCCACTTTCTAACTTTCCCCTTTATCTTTTACTCATCCTTATCACCCTATTGCTCACTCCAACCCCAACCTTTTCTGCATCAACCTCTATAATAATTCCCAAATGACCATTCATATACCAGTAATGGATTTGGAGTGTCACTAGAAAATCTAATACGCACTCGGCCGCGTCGCTCCTCTCAAAATTCCCATGTAAGTTGTAGCGAAAATAAATACTTGAAATACAACAATATCGTAGTTATTTTATTTTATACACATATATTTTAATAAAAGAATTTAAACGAGAATATATATACCGTAGTTATTTTATAATTATAAACCCATGATCCCAATACATTTAAATAAATAAGTTTCTCATCTCAGTGACCACATACAAATAAACAATCACGTTCAAGAGTTTGCCTCCATTGTCCTCCCTTGAACCTTTCCTAAATAAACACACGTAATTGCTTAAATTTATCCTCGCTATTTACTCGAAATATTCGTTTACGAATTGGTCGTACCTGCAGCGCGGCACGTTCCACAGAGTTTCAATGATGCGCGTGAATAAAGCCACGAATCAAAGCCGAGGCACAGTCTGGAAGCGAGTTACGAAGCCGGTTTTTACCAGCTGACTTCTCTTCGTCGAGCCAGTCACGGACGACCCACAGCTCAGTTGAGAGCATGTGTTGCTTATTTTCACGTCTCGCTCGATCCTCGACGTAACAGACGCCAGTGAAAATTTCAGACATGTGTTTACCAACGAAATACGGTAGTTTCGAGGAAATATGATTATATAGAGAAGTGTGTTCGTCGAATTCGTGACATAATTGATCATTTCACTCACGAAGCTATATATATTTAACGGTGATGATGAACCAAGTGCAGGTTATAACGTAATAGCTCGTTGCATCGTCGTGGTACGAAGCAATGCAACGGTAAACGAGAAACTGTTTCTTTCGAAAAGAATTGTAAGTTCTTTATTTTGAGTTTCCGTTTGATCTATACGATATGTTTGGCAAATAGTGAGTGTCAAGATACGTTGTTTTCGAAAAGGAGTTAATATTTGAAATAATTTTCCATTGTGTTTCACAAATCTAAGATCAGATGTATTAATAATATTATTTTATTCCCACGTGACTGTGTTTGCGTTTAGGTGTGAATTGCGTTGCGCATGTCACGAATCATAACCTGCTTTCTATTCAAATTGTCTTTTTAATAAATGCTGTTTCTTGTCTCTTTGGATAAAATGAACATTCACAAAACCTTTTGTTTTGTCCTTTTCTTCATTTTTTAGCAATGCTTAATTCACCGAATGTTATATTTCTTAAATATAAATTTTTACTTTATTAAAATCAATTTCTTAATGGTACAACGTAACTGGTTGATGGTTATTTTTCGTATTTTTTGAAAATGAGATTATAAATGAAAATTTTTTATTATGTACATAAAATTTATTTAATTTAAGATACATTTTTATGTGCTTCTGTGCTTTTATACTTTGCTATTATATTTTATGTATACAAAGAATTTATTGGTTTACTTTAAAATTATTTCAATACGAAATAAAACCAATTACTGTGTGTTAATAACGAGTTACAAAAGAAAATAATAATTTTATGTGTGAAACGCAAAATTTCATTCGCTTTTTCGATAAATAATTTTTATTTGCTCTCATTTCGCTAATTGTATTCAAAACTTGTGTTAGGGGAATTGAACACGTCTAAATCGAAGAAAAATTGATATAGCGTGTCACAGTCTTTGGTCATTTGAAATGTAAAATAAATTGGAGGGAAATAGGAATTAAAAGAAGACACGAAAATAATAGTAAACAACGAATCATGGAGAATTATATTTTCTTTTATAATTGGTAAGTAGATAACTTTCTTTTTTAAATTTTAAACGTAACTTATTACGTTACTTATTGATAATGACTTACTTACTGATAATGAAAGTTCACATTATCGAATTACTAAAATTGAAATGTGCTGAGATAATGAAACAAGTGATATTCATGTAATTGTTCTTCGTTAAAAATAATTTTATATTAAAAAATGATATCTTCCTTTATTTTATATAACAGTTATCAATCTTTCACAACTATGTCACATAAAATAATTAATTAACACCAAAACTGACATTTGTTACTAAATAATCTATAAATATTAAATACATGATCTAAAAACATCAAAGCAGTATTAAAGTCTAATAAAAATTTTAGTAATATTCTATATGATTATTACAAATTGTTCAATTTAAATATCTATATTTTTATTGTCCCTGCAATGAACAAGTTCATAAAAGAAAAAATTGCATCCCATTAAACGTTTGAAATTAAAAAAATACTAAGTGAGCATTTTCACTTCGTTCAAAAGCTTACCTACTTGAGCACTTGTAAGGCTAGTTGTAAGACTAGTTGTCAAGGGGCCATCAAATCATTAATAAACCATAAGCTAGAATTGGATATACGAAAGAGAGTTTTATACTTTGTAATTGAGACACGTGCAGCGTTAGTAGTGTCATCTTGCGATTAAGGCTTTGCGTTCAAGAACTTTTCACTTCATAGATATCTACCACCGTTTATAAACAAAACACTGTTTATATTTTGTTTAATGCTCCCGAATTTATTTAAGTCGAACGAGAACTATTTAACAGTATAAATTAAACTACTAATTATGTCATAAATTGTTAAAATTGTATATTGTGAAAATTATAAAATAGCTAAATTATAAATTTAATAATAAATTAAGTAAAAAATTTATCTTTTTTATATTTTTTGTATATAACTGAATAAATATCACTATGATATTTAAATAATTCCTTTTATTAAAATTTGATTAAATTGTATCATTAATTAAATCAAATTAAATATATTTCATTTCATTTTGAACATAATTGTTTATTCTGCTAATTTTATATTATTTCAAATTCACAGATATTAACTTTTTGTATTGCGAAAATTTCTTTACTCCCTTGATCAACGTTTTTAATACACTTTTGTAGGAAGATACACTGAAATAAAAAGTTTTGTTACAAAAAAAGCAAAAATTATAAATATTTGTGAATTTAAATTTTAAATTTATTTACATATATAATAGATTTTTCATTGCTTTTGTTTACAAAGAATTAATATATGTATATATATATCGACAAATATATTATAAATTATAGTGCTTGTTCTATAACATAACATATTATGTACATATTAATACAAATATTGATAAATGTTTAATTTATCTATAGATTATGTTTATATAAAGACATAATCCACGGGAGATGAATTTTTCTTTAATATATCAATTATCAGTGACTAGGAAAGTATTATTATTATGACTCATTTAATTAATATAATAATATTGTAGGATGCCAGAAACAGGTTTTATTTTGTCTTCAGCTTACAGAAATAACGCGTATGTGTTTCATCTTTTATCGAAGGAATATTGGGTCAGCGCGAACGGTTTGAGACACCGGAAACAGACAGAACAATATGAACAGAATGAAACGAACACTAAATTCTGAAACTGAGTAAACGTAGGAAAATAATACTAAAATAACACATGGGAAACACGCTCTTATTCGTCTCTTTCCGACACCGAACGATTCACGTTCGTACCAGTCACAATCTATTTTCACGAGGATTCTTTAAGACTTCTCCACACAGGGCTCTCTCTGTATCGTCATCCTGTTTTTATGCCCTTTGCAAAGCTCAATGACGTGCTTTTATCAATCGCTAATTGACTGATATAATTCAGTCGATTAGTGATTTGTTATCGTAAAAATTACATCACTTTTCCGGTTCGCGATTTACCCCCGTAAACATTATGCCACCTTAAGGTTTAGGATTTCTAAATTTAAAACTAATCTGCACTTACATATTATAGCAAAAGATTTTAATGACATTGAAATCGGTGAGGAACCAATCCATCAGCAAATTGACCCAGAATATAAATCATGGCTCTAAATACGGCGACATTAGGCACTACCGCTTCTTGATGAATTAATTTATGACCTCACTATGTCATGACTCCTACTATTCTCTTACACGCATTATAATTTTCTTTATTTTTCTATTATTTTCATTACACATCGCCATTTCTACGATACATGTAGTGTACAGCTAAGTCCATTGATATAACCAAGCTATATATTAAACTGGGAACAAGAATCGTTGATTACTTTCTAATTTCAATTTAGTTCACTAACTGGTATTCATTACGAATTTGCTACCACTAAATTTTGTTCAATATTTCGAATATTTAAGGAAACTTGAACTTTTCGTAAATTATTATCAACACTTAGTAATGAAAGAAATCTTGACGTTCTTTATCTCTCCAAAATATTTTGAGTTGTTGTTTCGGAAGACGAAGTATTTGTATTGTACTTTTGCCATTGATTAATTTTACGAACTAACTAATTCGAAAAAATACGATTTATAGGACCACTCAAAGTCACGAAGCCCAACAAAGATCATGCGTACTCGTTCACGTGACTATCGATCCCAACAATCTACTTTATACTTCTACTACTCTAATTAAAATCTCTTTTATCCATTTTTGTCGTCCTATCAATTCTTCAGTTACTCAACGTAAATATTATCATTCCTAAATGTTACAGATCCTATTAAAATAAACATCCATATTGCTTACACTACCTATCTAATATTTACTGATTTTAATTATATTCCACTTCTATTAAATATCTACTATATAACTATTATTTACTATCTACCATGTAACTACTATCTATTATCTATTAACACTATTCCATCACACATGATTCTTTTCTGTTCATCACTCACTCATCATTCATCCATCTTTGCAAGTCCTTAAGCCACGTTTGCGTTACGACTTTCACTAGAAATATCAGGCTATCCGAGTACGAGAAGTTCTACTGTACTATAATATTTCCTCGAAAGAAGGTATAATTTGTCCCTGAGTCTTAGGAGAAAGGTAGGCATATCAAAATACAGCTTGCCCAAGCTACAAGGTGTTTAAAAAGGTTGAGACCAAACTTGGACTAATTGTGTTACTGAGGTCAAATAGATGAAGAAGCTTCATATAAACTTATGTTCAAAAATGCTCTATTAAAAAGATATAAGCCTTTAAAGATATTTATGATTTTTCGTGACACTTATAAGAAACGTTCGAAAAATCAAATAATAATTTCAAAAAAGAAAACAAACATTCTCTACAAAAAATTGTGAGACGAATTTTGTTCGTAAATCTTTGAACGCTTATATCTTTCCAATAAAGCTTTTTCGGACATAAGTTTATATGAACCTTTTTCATCTATTTGACCTTAGCAACACATGAGTAGTCTCAGTTTGGTTCCAATCTTTTTAGATACCCTGTATGTGCGCGTCTATAGCGACATATGTTATTCGAAATTATAGCTTACAACTTTATGAATTAGCACTGATATATGGATCAATAATGTACTGTGATTACAATATAATATAAAGAAATGATAAAAAATATAGATAGTACATGGTGGCCATTTTAATTCCATTTAACAACGCTTCCTATGTTATATTCACGTGCCAATATTAAATTGAATTGATTGTCTTAGTAAATTTTAATCACTTAAATTTGATTATATACACAGTGGGATTCTAACAATTTGTCATTGAATGACACAGCATGATCATTAATCCGACACACAGTGATGACGTAGATTGTTCCTTCCGAACACGGTTTAATACTTATCTCAAGAGATACTACGTACAAATAAAGAGTATGATACGACATTCGTCGTGCAGTGGCACAAAATTCGATTACTTAACGAATAAGCTACAAGAATTAATGTAATCTTCATACAAATTCGTTTAAGTTATGGTTGCACTGTATACGTCTTTTGGCAAATTTATTATATTATAAATTAGATTTCAATAATTTCGTATACTTGATAATTCAATTCTGCAAAAGTTATGAGATTATTGAATTATTAAAGTTCTGTTGTACACAGTATCTGTCAGAAAATGGTTTCATTGAATAACGTGGTATTGAATATATGAACATATGTATATTTACGAATTTAATTAGATAAGCGTCCTAACGAATCTTCCTTATGATTACCAGCTTTATTGATAGGAAGCTCAAAGGTCTGCAATTATACAATATATTCAACATATATTAAACATATATTCATATATTCGATTTTTCATACATTTTTTATACATTTACTGTGTCATTTCTTACTACTTTGTTTCAAAGTCTTCATGAAGTATAGACATGTTTGATAGCTTCTTAAACAACACTTATCTGACAAATTGCACGTTTTCAGTATCGCATTGATAAGGAATTTTTGTATTATTTTATATTACTTTGTTCCTTATAATACTTTCTTAATATTTTGTGTATAAACTAACGTGAAAAGAAGTATACTAGTAACTTTCTTACTATCGGTATGCTATATCAATTAATTAGTGACCTAAATTACTCATTGTCAATGATTTAGTTCTTTAGTGTTTTATTAAGTACAATAAATTGTATGATAAATTCATTATATATTTTTCAGTATTTTTTACAACTGTATTGATATTCTAACATAGTATTTCAAAATAAAAATTAAATAGAAATTAAAAAAATTAATTCCTTTTGCTATTTTTTATTTTAAAAATTATGTTTTAAACTATCTTTTATTTAGGAATACATTTCATATAGCTCCTATCGTCTTCGTTATCAATGATTTATGTATAAACGATATTAAGTAATAGCAATATTCTTGACATTAAAAAAATTTGATAACTTTTTATTTTATATGATGATTCATATGAATTAAGTCGAGTATGTATATTGAATTATATATAAAAAACTAATACTTTAATCGTTTTATAATAGATAATATTAGAAAGAAACAAGCGCAAAATAAATCTATACTTAAATATAACTTCATAAAAACTTTTCTGTCATTTTGTTATCTATCATAGTTTATGTGTCTTCAAAGACGTACAAATAAAACACACAAACTATGATAGATAACAAAATGACAGAATTCCTTTCGTAACCAAGGAAACAATGTTTACTAATATTTTATGACAGGCAATCGAAACATTTGAAATCAAAATTTAGGTACAATAAAAGATAAAAAATGGATTTTAATATGTATGAAATAAAATAGGAACATTATTAATATTTAAATAAAAATAAAAATAAATTAAAAAATCAAACATATCAATTATAAATGAAATCAATCTATAAATATTTATAATATTTATGTAAATATATTACGAGTCATAAACGAAATAATTCGGATGGAATATATTAATAATTAATGGAAATAATAATCATTATAATTTCTTTACCTAATAC